ATTCAGTCCTTTGTTTACCAGAGTACATTGTTTTTGTTTGTAGGTGATTATTTTCGGAACAGGGAGGAGCCACAGACCCCTGGTCCATCTAACCCTACATTCATTCACTCAGCAAATATTAACATTATTTCTTTAAGCTTTGCACTCAGGAGAGTGCTTGTTGACTGATCAATAAGCAGTGGCTTTATGTTATTGTTTTGGTTTTGTATTTCCCTGTATTTCATGATGAATCACATCTTAGATATGCCAGAACTGGTTTGCGGCATGATTTGTGCGGTGTACCTGTTAGGATGCTTTCAGTGGCACTTAATAAAAATTCGACTTAGACCAACTCACACCCTAAGGAAATACAGCCTCTTTCATCTTTTTAAAAGATTTATTTACTTTTACTTGAGTGGGAGATTTTCAGAAAGTGAAGGAGAGATAAAGAATGTCTTTTATGCACTGATTCACTCCCCAAGTGGTTGCAGTGGCCGGAGCTGTGCCGATCCGAAACCAGGAGCCAGGAGACTTTTTCTGCATCTTCCACATGTGTACAGGGTCCCTAGGGACTTGGGCCAACCTCCGCTCCTTTCCCAGGCCAAAAGCAGAGAGTTAGGTGGGAAGTGAGAAAGCTGGGATGTGAACCAGTGCCCGTCCGAGATGCCAGTGTCACAGGGGATTAGCCTGCTGAGCCTTTGTGCCAGCCCCAGTACATCATCTTTCATCATTGAGCACTGACTGGAATCGGACATCATTGAGGTTTCTTATTCTGTGGCGTAGTGGTCTCGCTAGGGACCCAGCATCTCCTGGTTCCTCCTCTCCGTGACGGTGCTCACCCCCTGGGCATTTGGGAATGCTTTCCTTCTCATGTCTGACAGCCTGGCATGAGCCTGGGGCGTGTCCATTCAATGTGTGACTGCTGTTGATCAACATGTCACGTGCGTGTGGCACTCAGCGGCCAGTATGATTTTATGTAGCATCCTCCCTCCCACCCCCAGCCTTGGAGCTGGGTTGCGTTCATGAGCAGGTATAGGATCCGTCTAGGAGGAAATGAGTCAGAAACGTACTGGATGAGTGGCCAGCATCAACCACCAGCAATGAAGACCGTGGTGAGCCTGGAGCACACAGTCCCGAATCGGCAGGGGACTGCTTGTGCTGGCTGAGATGGACGATAGTGAAGGCACAGGTGCGGGACCTGCTGCCTCTGGTCCCCAGTGACCAGCCTTTGGTAAACCTCGTGGTGCCCCATTCCCTCCACGGGATGGTTCCTTTAAGAATTGAGCAGCTTGATTCTTCATGTGGGCTAGAATTTTAACTGAGCTGCTTCGATTGGCATCTGCTGAAAACACGGTAATTAGAGGCTCCTTAATTGCAGCAGGCCCGTGCTGCCTTAAGGAGAAGCAAACAGCTTCATGCCACATCTTCTTTAAAAGAAGAAAATTTGCAAGTACTGTCCTTCTAGCCAGTCACGTGGGAAGGGAGCTGATAGTTCAGCGCCGAGCAAGTAAAACAGGCAGACACATTGTCAGAAATAGAAATCTCTGTGTGGAAGGAGTTGCTTTCATTGTGCAGGCTGTTTGCAAAAGCAGAGACAATATAATCTGTAACTAGGAGAAGAATTAAAGAGAATAGAGCAGCACGATGTGTGCGGCATTTAAAATAGCGAGTTATCGGCATGTGGTTTATGAGCAGTTCTGACTGGTTTGTTCCATGAACACAGTTGATTGGGTAGTTGACTGCTCAGATTCATCGGTGTTCTTTCTACTTGAGCATTATTCATATGAATATTTTGTTCCAGCTTTTATGATTGCTTGTAGGAACATTTAGTGTTTTCTTAGTTTGTGATGTTTCACTTATTTAAAAAGGTTAAGGCTAGGGTTAAATGTAGAGAGGTTAATTTAAAAACTTAAAATCTGACTTGTGTGTTGGAGATGTTGAATATTATATGTTTTCGAAAGTTCAGCAAGTGTAAACTCGCTTATTGAACTTTAACAAAACCATCATCTTCGCACGGTAAAGATATAGAAAGAGATTCCTACTTTCTCTACTAAATGCTTTCAGGGTTTAAAGCATATATAACATGAAGCTAAAAGAACATCTTCTGTTTGTACATGTGAAGCTACATATTGCTAAATATTTTTAATTAGCTGGCATCCGAAGGGATTGGTTAAGTCAGTACACCCCCAGCAGTTTCGGTAATGCGCGATCTGTATTGGGATGTTTAGAACAAGCATAAACAATCCTCATATGTATCATTGTCAGCAGTCTCTAGTTTCAGGGCCAGAAGCTATAAGGTAGGATCTCTGAGTTCGTACAAACCAATGGTAATAGGTAATTTAGTGCTTCATATTACTTAGCTTAGAAAATAAGTTGCCTTACATACACCAAGCAATTACTGCTACTGTGAAAAAAAGTTGGCACTGAGTGTGCCATCAGCATATAGTGATCTGTGAAGGCACCGCCTTGGTGCTGCCGCCGAGCCAAGAGCAGAGCAGACATATGCCCCTTGAACTGCTGCCAACACTGCTAGGCAGAGAAGGAACAGAACCACTCCTGATTCTTCCATTCATGATTTATGATAATGGTCGCCACGGAAGACTGAGTCATTTACATTTATTGAGCTCGTTGTTTTGTTTATAGTTTCAGATGTTGTAGAGGGTTGTAAAATCCATTAGATGACACGTGCAGTGCTGATCATCTGAGCATAGCAGTAGACCAGGACCCAATTAGAGTGAAACCAGGGGCGTCGGGCATTCCTGGTGATGCCGAGGCTGGGTTGTGATTAGGCTCGTCTCGCTGGCTCTGAGGGCTGGGAGGCATTTTTCTGAAGCTGGAGCACTGGGGATACCCAGGGAGGAGTTCAATGTCGTTAGGGTTGAGAGGAAGCCATCAGTCAGATTTCACCAGTGGTCCATTGATGAGTGGCTGCTGTCTTCCCAGCAATCCTTCATATAGGAGCTCTGAGGGTGAGATGTGCTTGAGATGTGTCACAGTGAAAGGTTGCGTGGAAAGCAGTAGGGTGCAGGGTTCGAGTGCTAGGCACCTCAGATTTCTAGGGAATCACCAGCAGCCATGAATATCATCCTCGTATTGCAGCAGACCTGGGTTTGTACCTGCCAAGAAGTTTGGAGAATTGCTTAGTAATGATTTGGTCCATGGTCTAGAATTTTGAGACCACACCCTCCCCCCTTCCCAGAGGGTTGAAGGCATGCTTTGCGGGCACAGGGGGTATACCATGTTCAGGGTGGTGGGCTGGACACTACCACCCTGCATGAGCTCCCATCTGAACAGACCCCCTGTGATCAGCAAAGCCCTTAGCAGGCCAGTTAGTTGGCCAAGACATTCTTTGCCTGCTGTGTGTCCTGCAGAAGTTACATCCTCAGGATGGAGGGTTTCGCATGATCCCAGCATGCCATACTGCAGTACCTGGGTTCGTGTCCCGCCTCTGTCCAATCCCGGCTTAAGGCAGCAGGTGATGGCTTGAGCATCTGCCACTTGTGTGGGAGACTGGACCAAATTCTTGGTTCAGCAGGTATTTACTCTCAACCTCTCTCTCTCTCTCTGCCTCTGAAATAAAGAAAAGCAACTAATGATTGTTAAGACTAAGGATTTTTAGGGCCCCATTCATGAGAAGTTGCAACTTGCTTCCTCTGAGTAGCTAAAGTTCACTGTGCAAGGACACTAGAGCAAAGAGAAGGACTCCTTTCCTTGCTGGAAAAGTTAGTCTCATTGACTTCCAAATCAGTTTCAGATTCAGGCCTGGGGCTGTTTTTAGTCTTTGTACCTAGGGTGAGAGCTGCCGAAGTGGGAAATGGGTTCCCTTTTTAACCGAATGTGTCAAAAAACTCTGCACCCCTGTCCTTTTTGTAGTGCTAAATAGCTGACATTTTAAAAATAAAGCTATAGCACTGGGGCCTGACCTCATGGGTCATTGCTCGTGTCTGATTTGCAGGAACTGAATACCGGAAATAAAGCCATGAAGACAAATTGGCTGCTCTGTTGGTAGGGTGTCTTGCTAGAAAAGAGACCAGACCCAAGTTCTCTTGGAGGTGCAGTAGCCTGATTGGGAGATTGGCACATTGCAGCCTACCTGTCCTGAGTTAGAGGAAATATACCTTACATCCATGTCATTCAAGTGCAAAATGATTGAGTTATTGCTTGCCCTTGGGCCCTCCTCTTGGTGCAGGTTCTAGGATGATTACAGCATTATGCAGTTTTTATCTGTGACATGCAGGGGAGTGAGATCATTGGCTGGCTCATGGTCACATTCCTTCCTCGGTCCAGCTGCAGTTCTGTACAGCTGGGCATGTACAGTGAGTGAGAATGTACACAGCGTTTATGTCTGATATTGGCTTCATGCAGATGGTCACAGATGATGTGATCATCCACTGTGGCAGAAGACAAAAACAGACCCATTCTTGTGTGCCTGCTCATCCTACGTGGACACATTTGGAGGCCCGAGGACAGAGGTCCTTGTGCCAGTCCCCATGTACCTGCTAGTGTGTGGTGCGGCCCAACTACTCTAACTACTTTTTAATGAGTCTTACGTGTATTTTCCTTGTCCAAGGCAATAAAGATAAGCTCCTTTTTCTTGCCCCTTCTTAGCATCCTATTAAAATGATGCGCAGGACCGTCTGGGGTCTGTGTTGCAGGAGAGGTGATGGGGCCCTGAGCAGTCAGATGGGGCAGCGCTGGAGGAGTCATAGTAATCACTTGTACTGGCCAGGAGTGGAACAGGGGCCCTTCTCTTGGGAATCTGTGCTGTCTTCTCCGCTCATGCCAGCCACATCTGCTCAGAGCTTAACACTGATGTTTTATTTGAAAGAGTTAACGGAAAGAGAGGGAGACCCCACACGTGTCCCAACTGTTCCACATCCCGTCCTGCGTTAGTTATGGCTTAAGCACTGATCCCACTGCAGTAGTAGGGTTTTGTCCACACCTGTGTTTTTTTCCTCCCCATCTTCTCCATCTTCTCCACTGTATTTTACCATCTTTTTTTTTTTTTCCTCCCTTCCAAGTGGAAGAAGACACAGAAGAAAGCTCTCGGTCCGGGAGAGAGTCCGTGTCTACTGCCAGCGACCAGCCCTCCCACTCCCTGGAGAGACAGACCAACGGCAACCAGGAGCGAGGTGACAAAGGTGAAAGGAAGAGAGATAAAACTGGCAAAGAGAAGAAGAAAGACAGAGACAAGGAGAAGGACAAAATGAAAGCCAAGAAGGGCATGCTGAAGGGCCTGGGAGATATGTTCAGGTAAGTCTCCAGCAACCACCACCCCACGTGTGCAATCCCTGACATGCTTCAAGGCGTGGTATGCTGAGAGACGAGACACAGCATACAGGGGAGGGGAGGGTGTGCCTTGCCATCAGTCACAGATGCATATACTCCGCTCTGGGTCCCCAGGCTATGGGCCATACCCCCATACATGGTTAGATGGTGTATGACTGCCCACGATTGTGGGAATGAACGAAAGTACCAATGGCACAAGGTTCTTCAAGGTCAGCCATGGTCCCTGTGCAGTGTCCAGTTGTAGTTAGCGCGGTTTCCCCTTCGTGGAGTGTCACACTTGAATCTCTCAGGACCCTGTTGGTACCTCACACTCTTCATCAGCCTTCTGAGCCACCATTAGCAGGGGCTCTTGCTTAGAGCACCAGTGAGACAAAGGGCTGTTAAAGCAGTGTTGGTTCTTTTCTGTGTGGGAACAATGGTTCATTATTTAAATGCAACACAGAGCTCAAGTTAGTGGTAGCATTTAAAGGTTCATTAATAACGAGTGTAATAATAAAAAAAAAAGAATGTTACAAATAGAGCTTCAATTAAGCTGTGTTGATTAATTTAAAACTTATTGCTTCGGCCTGTGACGATTTCATTAAACATAGTCTCTGGCTGTTTCTTGACAGTTGTTTTTGTGTCCTTAAATTATATTCGAGGGTTACTTAGCATATCCTCTTTTTTAAAAAGATCATGCCGTACAATTAAAGTGACAAACTGTTCAGAAGTTTCTCTGCAAGTCAGCCTGGAATATGCATCGGATGTGGTTTATGACACCCAGGCTTTTGATGATTCCAAATGCAAAGACGGTTTGGTTGTTGCATAAATTAGGGCCCCACGCGTGTTTGAACAGTGAGTGTGGCTCAGTGTTTGCCTTTTTCACCAAGTAGCTGTCCTGCATCACGTACCCCGACCTGTAGCTTGTTCTCAACTGCAAAACGTGAGCCAGGTTTTCGTTTTCATAGAATTCCTTCATTTACGAGGCTGAGGTTGATCTTCACAAACTCAGGGACCTACAGGTAAGTCAGGCCTGGGGATGTGGGAATCGCAGCTCTGGATGAAGGCTGCACAGCACAGGGGTGCCCTGTGGAAGCCCAGGTTCCAACAACAGCATGGAACACAGAAACTCAGACTTCCATGAAATCAGGGCCTGGCCTATTAGCAGGATTACCCTTAATTTAAATAGCATTGGATTGCTGTCATTCAGTGCTTCAGAACGCAAGGTTTTCATCCTGTCGATTTTGCTCTTCTGAATGCTATTTCGGTCAGGTCATCCTTCTTCATTATATTCCCCATCTGAGCAGCCTCACTAGATGAAAGTGCTCAAACTGTTCTGTTAGTTTCTGTGGTAGCCAGGAGGCCCTTCATCCCCACTGTGCCGAGGGACAGGCCTACATAAGGCACACCAGGGGAGTTGGGACCACTGGCTTGTGGGTTTTCATGCGTTAGCTGGCAGTCCTCTGATATATACAGCGCCCTCTTCTTGCCATGCAGCAAAAGATACCCTTCTAGTCTTTCAGGAGTTACTAATTTTGGTCTACAACCTGCAGGAGCTTTGTGTTTGGGGCCAGGAAAATAGAAAGAGTGGGGACATGTTTGTCGTTTGAGAATCCCTGAAGAGATCCACAATGTGGGCCTCTTTCGGCTCGGACTCCGGGGCATGCCCCATATGTCCTGTAGTTCTGCACCTGTGAGCTCTGCCGCTGTGACCCATCCTGGACAACCAGCATCGGGATAACAAGCCATGCATGCGTTTGGAAACCTCGCAGGTCTACTTATTCTAGAGAGCTGAGTTCTGAATTCAGGTGCAGTGGCCTGACATTTTTCTAAGAGTTAGAAAGTGGCCTTCCCCCAGCAAGGGTCTTTTCTAGTACTTGGTTGTGCTTCGCTGGGGACTCTGGTTTTGAGATGGTTTCCCCTGATTGTTTGAGCTGGCTGCTGATGCCGTGAGGGAAGTTCCAAAGTTAACTCCCTGGAAAATGAAATGAAAAGACGGGTGTCTTGTGACAGGTCACACACTGCAGTGCCTGGGTGTGAGTCCTGGCTCTGCTTCCGACCCAGGTTTCTGGGAAGCAGCAGGTGATGGTTCAAGTACTTCGTCCCCTGCCATCCACGTAGCAGACCTGGATTCAGCTCTTGTGGCCTGGCTCAGCCTTGCTGTTGTGTGTATTTGGGCAAGAGAACAGGTAGATTTAGAAGATCGATCTCTCTCTTTCTCTCCCCCACCACCTCTCTGCTTTCCAAATAAGTTTTTGTTCAAGGAATGTTTGAAATCCACACATACTTTTTTATAGTATATATTTCCCATGACCTTTTGGAAGACCCTTGTATGCTTGGATTTTAAAATTTTTTCGCTTCAAATACATGTATTTTTTTTAGTTCATTTTGCACCGACTTTGTTTGCCCTCTGAGCGCTGGTCGCTCCTGCAGAGCTTTTCCTAGCCCCGGGCTCAGTGGTGCCTGTTCTAGCTGATACCCTACTGTGGGGGGAGTGGATATGCCATGGAGCCCTTTTTCCAGCAGCTCCACGCAGCCCACAGGACATGCGCTTGCAGCCCTGTCTGCAGGCACCCGGGTCTTGTGTGTTGCCACTGTCTTCTGTTTGTGGCTTCAACTGTAGGTTAAAGTTTGCCAAACACTGTCTGTCTTAGTGACTCCTTCCTTCACAGCAATATCATATGGTATATCGTTAACATGGCATTAGTATTTGATAGCACCAATGTTTTAAACTACATTGCATCCCTACTCAGTTGAATGGCCTGGGACCAATCACCTCCCTCAGTTTGGGTCTTTTATTAATCATTTTTTAAGATTGTTTCTTTTTTAGATTTACTTATTTTTATTGCAAAGTCAGATATATAGAGAGAGGAAGATCTTCCGTCCATTGATTCACTCCCCAAGTGACTGCAATGGCCGCAGCTGAGCCAATCCGAAGCCAGAGACCAGGAGCTTTTCTGGGTCTCCCACGCGTGTGCAGGGTACCAAGGCTTTGAATCATCCTCAACTGCTTTCCCAGGCCAAAAGTAGGGAGCTGGATGGGAAACAGGGCTGCTGGGATTAGAACTGGCGTTCATATGGAATCATGGTATGTTCAAGGTGAGGACTTTAGCCACTAGGCCACCATGCCGGGCCCATTATTAAATATTTTTTAAAGTTTATTTACAGTAACCAAGAGAAAGAAGGAGGGGTTGAGAGATCGTCCATCCATTGATTTACTCCATAATTGCCTGCAGCACCCAGGTCTTCCACTTGGTGGACCCGAGCATGGGCCATCATTTGCTGCCTCCTGCATTCATCAGCAGGAAGCTGGCTTGGAAGCAGAGTAGCTAAGATCAGGACTGATAATATTGCTGTGGAATATGAGCATCCAAGTGGAACCTTGACCCACTGTACCCCCTCCACTCATTTGTAATGTAGGGAAGTATGGTGAGAGTTTCAAGTCAGTTTCTTTCCTTATAAATAGTTATTTATTTGAAAGCCAGAGTTACAGAGAAAGAGAGAGAGTCGGTCAATCTTCCATTAACTCCCTAAATAGCTGCAATGGCTACAATGACTGGAATTGGGCCAGGCCAGAGCCAGGAGCCTGGAACTTCCCGGTAGTCTCCCATGCGCATGGTGGGTGTCCATGTGCTCGATTCCATTGCTTTCCAAAGTGTGTTAGCAAGGAGATTAGAAGCAGAGCAGCTGAAACTGGAGCTGGTACTCACATGGGATGCTGGCATTGCAGGAAGAGGCCCAGTCCACTGGACCACAGCACCATCCCCAGCCTCTGTCTCTGTTATTTCTCTCTGAAAAATATTCTATTTCTTTTACACAGCTTCTTTATATCCCATCTCTGCATGGATACATCTCAGCGTGATTTGTGTCGGGGGGTGTACATGTTGGTAGTGGTATTGCCAGCCTCGGGTTTGGGCAAGAGGGGTGGGTTCTTAGGCGTTTCTGTTTGTGGTTCAGGCACCAAGAGGAAGGGGTGGGGTAGGTTAGAAACAGTACCATAGCCAGGGTACAGTGCAGTGCAGACCTGGTTAACTGAAGCATGTCCTCTCCTAGGTTAAATTTGAGGTAGCTGGGCCGTGTGTTAAGAGCTCAGCAGAGGAGACTTGATGGCTCATTGCTGGGACAGTTGGCTATCACTGATGTCCCTAGACATGTGGATTTCTATTTCACACATTGAATGGGAGGCACAGAAATTGAGTCACTGGCATGCAGCTCCAAGAGGGAGTGTTGTGTGTCATGCAAACCGCCTCTCTAAATGAGCACAATCGTGGTCTTGGTGCACGTTTCAAGTCACACATGTAAATCTATAAGACATGAAGTATCAGACGCCTGGTGTTCTGTGTCCTCCGTGTTAAATTCCCCTTGCACGTAGGAGCCCCTGGAGCCTTAAATAAAATATCTGTTGTCTTAGAAACCCAAGTGTGCTTGCAGCACGCATCACTGCAGCCCCTGCCTGTGTCAGGTGCGACCAGAGCCCTGGCATGCTGCATCTGTGTGTGCCTTTGAGTCTCAGGTCCTTGTCTCTGTTAAAGCCCACAAGATGTATTTGAGAACTCTGCATTTATGTAAAGTTGTCGCTACCCAGGGGCCTGAGCCTGGCTTCAGAAGGAGAGAGGTCTGTTGCTTAGTGTTTACATGTGTTTGTTTCTTAAAGCAAAGCGACAGCATTCCTAAGCAGCATGTTTCCAGGCCTTATTGATGTAAGCAGCAATATACCAAAATCCTGTATTCTCAGTTATGAAAAATTTAAAATCATGTATTCCTCTCCCCCCCCCCCCCCCCCCGGCTAGCTGGGAGTAAGTAGAATTTGATGTTGCTCTGCTGGAAAACTGGAACCGTTATTTCCATGACATAGAATTGTGTGGAGTCCAGCTGACGATTGAGATGTGACCTTGCTGGGCCTGCCTCCGATTTATCTTGCATTGCCATCTTTTCATGGTGGCTGAGTGTGCATGGCAGCTGGGCAGAGTGAGAATAAAAATCCT